TTTAAAGATAAATTATTACACTATGGTTGTAGACTAAGGATCCAAATATTTCTTTTTCTGGTTTAGTAACAAGAGATCTTCGAACTATTTTTCTATAACTGTGAATAATTGGTATGCTCGTACAAATGTAAAAAATAAAGATTTTTTTTTATAATAAATTACCAATTTCTGATGGTCGCAAGCATAATATTTGATTAAAAAGCATGTAATTTCTAAAAAATATACTATTTTTTATTCTTTATTTTATTATTAAAATTAAAACTTAAATAGCAATTTCTTATATATTTCTAGTTTTCTAAAATTTTAAATTTTAAATATTTACGTTATATTTATTTTATGATATTTATTATGCATTTTATAAGTCAATATGATAAAATAATTTTAGAAAAAAAATTGAAAAACTTGATTTTATTGTTTATAAAATTTTAACATAATTTTAAAAATATTTTTTAAAATTGAGAAATGAGAAATAGGAATAATTACCCGACGTTTATGTTTCTAAAAAAACTTGAAAATGAGAAATAAAAAAGGATAACGTTTCCAACTAACTAGGCCTTAAGCTATTAAATAATATAGTTGTTAAGAAACTGCCGAAGTGTAGATAAATTATTAGAGGATTGCTTGCAACAATTTAGCTGATAATTTTACATATGTATGAGATAAAAGAAATACAAATTTATTTCGAATTTGCATACGTCCTGTAATTATAGGAAACCTACATATAGTTGTTAACATTTTATTAAATTGAAATTAATAATTCCTCATATTTCTTCCTTTTCTTTTTAACTTATAATCAATTTTTTTTTGGAACAGTAAAATATAGATTAGGGTTTATTAGAAAGTGTTTATGTGAGAGAGGAAGTTAGGGTTTGCGAGTGTAATTTTATGGAAATAAAAGAAACAAAAATAAAATAATGAAAAAGATGGGTGCAAATTGCAATGGTGATTAAAAATTGGTTTGTCAGTATTCTGAAAAATGTCAGGAAGAGAGAGAGAGATTGATGACGTCATGGTGACCAGATGGGGGAGTTTGAATAAGGAAGA